AAGAAATCAAAATGATGGTTCTACTGTCTTCAAGGACATTTTCTAGAAAACAAACAAAAAAAATAGTGTTCATCAATTTTTCACCACCAGAATTGGATATTTCTTAATTTTAAAGAATAATATAAATGACAAACATTTTTATGAAAAAAAGCTTAAGTACACAGTCCCTAAAAACTAAATGATTCATCTCCTAGAAGATTACAGTATAAGAATATTACATGCAAGACAGATGACTGTTGTCATTTTACATATTAAAAAACTTCTGCATCCACATACGGTGGCTCATACCTATAAATCTCAGCACTTTGGGAGGCCAAGGTGGGAGGATCACTTGAGTCCAGGAGTTCAAGGCCAGCCTGGGCAGCATGGGAAAATCCTGTTTCTATTTTTTAAAAATGCAAAAAATTGGCCTAGCATGGAGGCACACACCTGTAGTCCCAGCTACTAAAGAGGCTAAGCTGGGAGAATCACCTGAGCCTGGGAAGTCGAGGCTGCAGTGAGCCACTTTCCTGGAAGAGGTGTCTCCTTCCTCCCCACTAAAATGTCAAAGAACCTATGGAGGGTCTTCCTGAGACCTGCAGAGGAAAATTCAGGCAATGCCTCACATTGATCCATAATGAGATGGCATCAACATCAGTAAAGGGTACCCAAGGAAGAAATGACAAGAAAGATTCTCAGGGAAGAAGTAATAAGGCATCACATCTGAAGAGTGATGCCGAATTTAAAAAGACATCTGGCCTTACTAAACATTTGAGAGTGTGCCTTACTCGAATTCCTGACCATTTGACCTCTGGAGAAAGTTTTGATTCCTTTAGCAGTTTGGTAAAGAGTGGTACTTACAAAGAGACAGAGTTTACGGTGAAGGAAGGAGAGAAAACAGCAGAATTTTCATAAGAAAAGAAAAGCAAAAAACCTATGCAACTATCTTGCCTGTTCTTCACATGTACCCCAAAACCTAAAACGTAATAAAATATATATTGAAATAAATAAAAATAAAAAAAGAAGATGGATCACAAAAAGAAGAGAAAAACAGAGAATGCTTCTAACACAAACACAAATGGAGGAGTTCGTGTCACCAGTTCTCAACCCCTAAGCAGTATTTTACCAACTTCAGGTGTGTCACAACGTAATACTCGCCAGTCGCAGAACAATCAGACAAGAAAAGAGGTTTGAGATAGAACACTATACCCATGAGAGGCAAAAGAAAGGCACGTTGAATTCAAATGCAGCTTACGAACAAAGACATTCCTTCCATAAAAACTGTACTGAAGATGTTTTCCCAGTGACACCACTAGAGTTAGAAGAAACCATTCTAGGTGAAAAAATAAGAAGACTTAAGCAGGTACTGAGGGAGAAAGAAGAGTTCTTGAAGAAATGGGTAAGAAGATGCGCTGCACTCTAGCGTGGGCTGCAGAGTGAGACCTTGTCTTCTCCTACCGAAAAATAAATAAAAGTTCTTATAACATGAATTAACACCCTTCTACCTTTAACGCTTACAAGTGAAGAATCTATGGCTCACTATTGGCTTAAACGGATGAGATGATGGGAGGAAATCCCATAACCCAGAAACCTGAAAAAAGAAATAGTGGCAGAAGTAGCAGCAATGATAATGATAAAATGATAATAACAGTCATTAAGTTCTTGCTTTGTGCTTGGAACTAGCACTTTATGTGCATTGCTTTTTTTCATACAAAAAATGATAAATTTTATGTTCTTATGTACATATTTTAGACGAGAAAACTGAGGCTTGGAGGGGTTTTGCACATTTTTCAAGGTGACAGCCAATTAGTGGTGAAGTGAAATTCCACCCAAATTCTGACAACAGAAAATATTTAATAAATTTTCTATCCTGTAGAGAGAGCAAAAAGTATCTTCAGAAACACAGATATGAAGTGAAAAGAATAATAACATATGCAGCTATTTTTTAAAAAAGAAAAATTTAGAGAAATTAATTATTTTTATTGAAAAAACCATTCTGAGTAATGATATTTATAAATAGATTTTACCAGACAACTAGTGTGGCTACTAAAAATATAAAGTTTAATGATGTATGAGCCTTGGTTAAATGTAACTCTTTAGTATCATTGATCGACCAGGAAATTCTGGCCTTCCCACCAACATGCGGAATTTTCTTGATACCTCTCTCATGTTAAGTATTCTTTCTGTGGTTTACAGAAACCTTGGCTAAGTTTCTACTTCACGAATTTCTAGTTCTAAAGTCCCTAATTCCCACTCTTGCCATAAGACACATTTTTCTCCTCAGTGCCCCAATCCAATTTAGTTTCTATTCTGATCCTGTAGCCTAAAATAGATGGCAAAGGAAGCATGAAAGTAGTAAATAGATGAATCCAATAAAAAAGGAATAAAGAAAATATTGAAAATAACATCTTGATCAGAGCAAAATGTAAAGACAAAATTAATAACACTTTTTTTTTAACAAAGAAAGAGGAAACAAACCATTAAAATCGATTTTTTTAAAGTTCTGAAAGTTACATCTTTTACATACCATACAATCAGGGGATAAGTTAATTATCAATAGCAAAAGACATAGGAATTCTAGATATAAAAGTACTTAAGAAATGGGATAATAAGAGTGACAAAGGGAAAGACAGAACAATTGATCCGATTTTCTGTTTAATAAAAATGAGTCAGCTACAATAGGCAAAGAGACGGTACATACTCTCTGCAAAGTATGATGTTGTGTCAGCCCAGTAGAACCAGGAGGACGTCTTCAACCCATTCCCAAGAGCTTGGGGAGAACTTAAGAATGGGAGGGAGAGTTAAAAATCTTAGTATATCTACAGCTACTCTTTAAATAGAGTCTTCAAAATATTTATGTACAGAGAATGCTATTAATTCTAAAGTTAAGCACAATATACATGTAAAACCCATTTCTTAATTTAGCCTGCAGTCTCCCTCAAGTAATATTGGGACACAAACCTCTGATACCATTCATGTTGTCAAGGATTCTGGCAACTGAAAGAGAATGATTGCTAGGTAAGATGTGAAGTAAACAGGAAAAGAAATTGATTAAAATATTGATGATAGAACCAGGGTCTGGAGCAGAAATTTTAAAATCTGTATTTGTATTCTGATGACTAATTTTTTCTAAAATAAGCATGCATTTTTTCTACATGCAGCTACTGGTAAATAGGATAATCCTTCTCGTCCCATTCCTCCTCCTCCAACTGCTTCATCTCCTTTTTCTGTTGTCATTTTTCCTCCTTCTCACCTTCTTCTCCTCCTCTTCTTCACTAAATAATTGAAAAAAATTTAGACCAACTTCTATTATCTTCTTTTCTCCAACTATGAAATTATTTTAAAATAAGATTTGGCAACTGTTTTGGAAAATGGAAAGTGAATATTCACATAAAGTTACAAGTCTGGGGTGCATTATTTTTACACTTGTACCTCTAGTGTTAAACTTCCTATTTTTCAAACATAACCCAAGTTCAAGCATTTGTCACTTAGAAGGATACATTTATATCATGTTGTCTTCTTTTCTCAGATACTTAGAATAAGGATCTTAAACATTACATAAGTAGAAGAGATTTAATTAAAAACTTGAAGAAATGTGTTACTGTTAATTGAATTCTTGCTACATTTACCTTTGCACACCAATGTTAATAAAACTCCAGTTCAAAGTGGATGGGTTTGGGGAATTGAGATAGCTATTTATTTCCCTACCTGAGATGCCAAGATAATCTTCTCAGTAAAATAAAGAACTCACTAGGAGAGTTCTCATTTGTAGCTATTGATCAAGTTTACACAAAATGCTAGAATTTCTAAGTAAAAAAGTAAGAGGTTCAAAGGCCTTTAAACGAGGTTGAGGGAGTGAGAAAGGAAAATAGTTCCCTGCGTTTTGAAAGCCATTCACCTGTGGAGCAGATAATGGACGGACCCCTCAGAGCTGGGCTCCGCTCCAGCCCCTAGCCTGGCGCGCGGTCCCTTCCCCCACCCCGCTGAGCCTTCCTGTTGGGTATCTCGGTATTTAACCGAGCTATAAATTGCCTGAGAGCTTAGAGACAATCAGGTCACCACCGCTCTCACAAGGGAAAAGCTTCTTACTTCCGAGCAGAACGGTTCAGCTGGGAAGGGAGGAAGCAGGGAGAGAATCTATGCTTTAGCCGTCACTGCTCTGGCAAGGGGTCGAGAGAGATGGGGGAGGGAGGTGGCAAAAAATAAAAAATAAAAAAAGCATTCCTAACAATGTCCGCACTTGACCCAAGTCTACAAACTTATCGGTCGCCGCGACGGAAACTCCCAGTGACTCCACGGCCTGGCAGCCGCCGCTGCTGGGCGGAGTCGCGCTCCCGGCCCCACCTATGGGACGGAGCTGCTTCTGCATCTCGGCTCCACCGCACCCTTCTCGGGAAGTCTCCAGGCTTCCAGCAGAGCTCAGCTTAAGCCACCCTCGCTTCTAACCCCGAACCCTAGAAGAATAGCAGGATGAGCCTCCGATAGGCTGGCGGGCCACCTCCCCGCGGCTCAGTTTGAGGACACTTGTGCGGAACCCTTTCAGGTCCCCACCCTGCCCAGCTTTCACAACTCCGCCCGGTTAAATGGCCAAAGACAAACTTCTGCCTCTCCCGTCCCCGGTCCCAGCTTTTCAAAAACCCACAGCTGGCGAACCCACACACGTCGAAACTCCTAGGTCGCTGTTGCAGTCTGGGCATGCTCAGTATCAGGGCAGGTTTTGATTGAAAGTACAAAAAAAAAAAAAAAAAAAAAAAAAAGCTTTGTATTATGCTCTCTTTCTCCTGTGCATATGGCATGCTGAGCAGGTTGTGGGGCATTCCTGAGTCTACCCAGACGTTTTACCAGATGCCCTTGATTGTGTCTCCTTGGGATCGGTTCCCCTCTTACTTCGCCCCCTCCCTCAACCCGCCTCCACCCGCTTTCCTAAGTCCCTGTCCGCTGTGGGGATGGAGAGACACTAACAGAACTGAGATGGGCGACGCTGGCTGAGCGGATCCACCTATTATTAGTGCGCTGGGATTGGCTCCTTGGCGCAGCGTACCCGAGGTGGAGCCAATCAGGATGCTGGGGCTGGGAGGTGATGGGCGGCCGCCTCCTCACTGGAGGGATTCCTGGAGAAGCTGCAGTGTGGGGATGCTCTAGACCGAGTACTGCCCCCAGTGTCTTTCCACCTCCTCCTGCAGCAGCGGCAGCGGCAGCAGCAGTTAGCAGCGGCAACTTGAGGCTGCACCCCGGGCAAGACCCCAGGGTGGTGCTCAGCCGAGAAGGGGCTCGGCGCCCCGAAGGGGTGTGTGAAGGGTGGGGGCGGCCAGCTGGGACCAGCTGGTGGCCCTGGAAAACCTCCCACACACCCACACCCACACACCCCTTTTGTGTTGCAGGCTGCCCCTCCAAGAGCGGAGGCAGCGAGAGTACGCGTGTGCCTCGCGCCGGTCCACGCGGGGAGAGCACTGCGGACCGAGACCCGGCACCACCTCCCGGTCCGCCCTCCAGGTAAGGAAGCGGGACTAGCGGCGCGGCCACCTCGGCGGTGCCTATCTGCTCGAATCCATCCCAAAGATTTTCCTTTCGATACACTTGGGTTTTAGTGGTGGGAGTCTGAGACCTAGGGAGGGATCCCCGGGTGGCCTATTGTGAGAAATATGAGACTACATGTGCATCTCCTGGAAAAGCACTTTGCACAGCGCCCGTGATTTAGAGCCTGGAGTTGATGTTGGGCATCCCCCATCTTCTTGCTTCCTCTTTCCTTCTCTTGTTCTCTCTCCTCCGTCCCCCACCCCCAATCTCAATCTTCTCTCTTTCTTTCCCCTACCTCCCCCCTCGCCCACCTCCCACCCTAAGCAGGCACAGGGTTTCTTTCTCCTCCTGGAGAGGATTGTCTTTCTTACAGGAAAGAGGGGAGTGAAGAAAAGAGAAAGATTTCTTTCTGTTGGGGAGAGGGACAGGGAGCCTAAACAAAGTAGAATACAACCTCTGCGAAAATCAGAGCACAGAAAGCAATTAAACTGAATAAGGGGTGTAGACGAGCCATCCAGCTTGGGCTGTCAGGGAGAGGAAGCGTCAAGTTTGACTTGATTTCCTCCTTGCAAGAGGCTATGTCTCTCACTTGATTCGTTCAAATGGAACAAAAATAAACCGACAATCCAACCCACTTTCAACTGCTTAATTGCTGTTGCTTTTGAGTGCCAAGCATCTGACTTTTCCTGTTTCCATCTGTCCTGTGGGGCTGACAATTTGGTATTGCACATCAGTGTTAACATCTGAACTTTGAAAGGCTCCTTGAGTAAGAAAAATAAATTATTACTCTCCTGAGGTTCCTTGGTATGGCCTGTTGTTGGGGGATCAAAAATGTAAAGTTTCAAAACATTTGCAAGGGACAACAGTTTTATAGGGAGGCTTAGATTTCTACTTTGAGAAAGCTAATCTTCTAGTTAGCTTTGTGTACACGTTGATATTCACTTTCTCCAGTATTAACCCTTTGGTGAAATAAAGCAACTGTTTAACTTTTGTGTGGAAGCTACACTTGTGTACGAATTTTCACTTTATTCTTCCTTTCTACTATCTATTTACATTTTATTGTCTGGATACCAAACTTATGTCTGGCTTTATTTTCTTTTAATAGGAGAATATTTAATGGATGTAAACATGATGTTTATACAATTTCAACACTCCCTTTGGAAGGCATATGGAGGGTCAGTTGGACAAGAACCTCTGTACTGGAACAAAGTTTAAAAAGTAATGCTAGAAAGATAGCCTAAATTTTAAAAATCTCGAAGGGGAAAACATTTTTGTAACATCTCGTTAAAAGAAGGAAAAATATATCAAAACAGCAACATGTCCCTAGCTGCCTGCATAATAGGTCAAGTAAATGGTACTTGTTGGACAGAGCCTTTACACCAGCTTCAGCAGTCTCTAATTCCATCATTGGAGATATAAGCTTTGTTTTCCTATTATTTATCAGGAACAGCTAAGCGATAGGACTGTCAGATGGAAGGAGGTATAGAGAAGTGCCTCATTGGGTGTAATAGGAAAGCATTCCAAATGAATCTTACCTGAACACAGAAAAATCAGCAGATGTTAGTATACAAACCACTTCTTTCTATTTATCAGGGGAAATACAGAGTCTTACTTTTTTTTCTTCTAGATGTCCACTTGATATAAGAAAAGGGAATCTTCTATCTTAACTCTGACCTTCCACACTTATTTTATAACTCAGAAAGTATTTTTTCACCAGTATCTTTAATATGTAAGTTTACACACTAACTTAGAAAAAGCTGGATTCATTTTCCATGAGTATAATGTGTACTATTTTCAAAACCATTTTCCGTTTGAGATAATGATCTCTCCTACCTAAGCAGAATTACCAAGTCACAAAAAAAAGATTTTCTTTCTAGGGATTTGACATTTAAATTACTTTTTTTAAAAAAAAACATAGTGCCTCTGTTGAATGCTAACTGATTTTTGGAGGTACCACCTTTTGGTTACAAGGACAAAGGGATAATAATCACTTAATTACCTCATGTGTATGTACAACTGAATTAACAAGTTTAGACATGAAAAGATGTACAAAAAGGAAGCCAGCTGCCTCCATGTGAGAAAACTAAGATTTTGTTGTCTCATTTCTCCACTGTGTTAGGAAAATGTGAAAGTTTAGGCTTGGTTCGTGACATTTATTTTCATGACTCTTTGCAAATGTTAATTACAGAAATAATATGTAAAAAGATGGATATGACTAGTTTTTCACATACTTCCGAAAAATTAAATGTCTATATATTGGAAATCAGAACTAATTCCAGTGTATAGTGAGTGGATTGCAGAGAGACCTTAAATGATTTATTATAGAAAATCATTACTCTGTTATCCCACAGAATAGTCTGATGTCACAATTTCATACAATCTTTATTTTTTCTCCCTTTGACAGGATACTTTAGTAAATCTCATTAATGTTTCAGAGTAAATATGATAATTATGTCATAAGGTATTTTTGTCAGAACTGAAGACTGCTAATATATAGGGAAAATCCTAATTTCACAAAAATAACCACATGATTGAGAGCTGTTGCTGAGTAGTTTTGAACTTCATTTCACAATGGAGAATATTAGTTATTCCATCTATTATCAGATAGTTCTAATCAAGAAATATGAAAATGAATAACAATGTATTCCTATGATTTGCATATTAGACTGAAAATAAAACTAAAAAATAGTATTAATTATATGCTTGTATTAATTATATGCTAGATGAGCTGGAAGATTAATAAAATAAAATATAGAATGTGTTGGAAATCTGAAAGTTAATTTGAACTTCCCCTTAGCCTAATAACACCATTGACATAATTTCAGTTCATCACTTTGATGTCAGTATATTAAAATGATTTTTAGTAAATTCCCAAAATGGATTTTTAGAGCCATCTAATCTTAAAGAACACACACTTAATGCAGACAATTATATGAGCCTGAAATACAGTTTTTATGATTTCCAGTTTATGCAACAGCCAAGAAGAGGTATCATTAATTCCAAATTGAAACATAATTATTTGTTTTCCTAATGGTAATAATTAAATAATTTGGGGAGAACAAAACAGTAAAACAGTTTGATTATATAATGGAACAAATCTTTGTCTACTATTACAAAAAACCCATACCAAAGTTAGACTTTCTGCCACTGTATAATGTAGGTATGGGTCTTGCATGCATTCTGCTGAAAATATAATATTTTTTAAAAATTAAATATCTTATGTAGTTGTAATATTTTTAAATTTTCAAGTAATTTATTTGTCATGAATATATCTGTACCAAAAGTTTAATACTTGATGTGCCTGATTTTAACTGAATTTTTTTTTTCATTTAAAATGACCAAAGCCATTTAAACAGAGACAAAATATTTGGCAATCTAAATAATAATTTCAGTTAGGATTTAAGGATATGTACACATATATGTTTGCATATGTTTGTGTGTGTGTGTATATATATATATATATATATATTCTAAAATTGTGTAACTTTTTCAAAAAGGATTAGAAATTCATGGACAGTAGAATATAATTTGCTGAAACTAGGGGGCATTCATGTACAAAGTACCATTTACAGAAAGGTGATGGTGTCTTGGGAATGCTTTTAGAGGTTCTTTGGTTGAAATTCTGGAAATACTCAGAGATAATATATTAATGGAGACCTAGATTTTTTATTTTAAACTGGGGTGTTATGGCTTTGGGCAGAAGTGATTTTTATATGTGTCATGATTGAAAAAACTCTCAGTACAAGATGATGCACTTCTTTATACAGGTAACAAGTTGAAATCATATTTTTACATGGTTTTGATATGAATATGATGGCTGATAAAAATTCCATCTGTCTAAGGCTTTTGGTAGATGTTTCTTTCAATATTTGCATTAAGGTAAACGTTCTTAAATATTTATGTAATTGAATGGCATGATTATCATTGAATTGAGTGGGAGAATGTGGATTGGTATGTTTTCATTCAATTCCTCAAAAAAATGATCAATACTTTTCCATAATCTTGTTGCAAATTTGATTTAAACTACTCCACTAAGTGGATCCATTTTCTTAAGCAGAAATATAACATTTCAAAAAAAAAAAAAAGCTTTTTTTTTAAATCTTCTTCGTCTTTTTAAGAGGAGCTAGTTTTATGTGTACTATAAGATAAACTGTGGTAGCTGGGCATATGAACATTACTCAATTCATATGTATTAGCAACAGTAAATAAACTTATTTAAAATTTTAATGCCAATGTATGCTAACTGTTACAAGTAAGAGAGCATGCCATCATTTTCTGTCTATATCAATATAATTTACTATTGTTTTATTAAAAAAGGAAAACTTTCCTTTAAAGTGGACAATAAATATATTGCTATGTTGTAGAAATGGTAAACACTAGAGATACTATTTCTGCAATTTTAAATATAATATTAGAGATTCTATTGCAAAGAATCTTCCTTCTAAAATGGCATCTACATTACATTGTTTTTTAAAAAACAATATTTAAGAGAGTTTCAAAAGAAATTAAAACCTACATTAAAGTAAAATAACACATTTATAGTAGTGTTATAAATGAATTTTCTAACATATCTTTTACAAATGCAGAACAGATATTTTAAAGAATTGTTTCTATAATTGCTCTAATTTTTATATTTATTTAAACCTCAAGTTCTAATTTCTAATTGCTAATTTCCATACTTTATCAATGGTGCAAATGAAAGGTCAAAGTTTATCTTTTTTGGTTACTGCTATTATGAAGATATAAAGAAAGCATAGTGGTTACTCCCATAAATGTCTCACATACAGTATGTTTAACATATTACTTATGCACATAGAAAGGCATTTTGTTAAAGAGGAGCTCTAGAAAATCATAAAGCAGATGAAGATAAAAAACATGCCTCCTATTTCTTAGCTGTTTGTACAAACCGAGAGCTGGGGAATTTCCATGTAGAATGGGATTGGGCTATAAACTAGGGTAAGAATCTGGTGAAACTATTTGGTTAAGATATGATTTCCAAGAGTTCATAACAGCCTTGTTGGATGACATTTCATCACAGATACTAGCTTACAACAATGCCACAGCAACCATAAATACTGTACACAAGACATTTAGCTAAGTGCCTCAATTAGAAATTAATTTCTGATTGAAATATCCACTTAATTAAATTCAGGTATGGTACTGAAACTTGGTCATACCTTAGCTCAAAGAACTTGTTTCTCTACTTGTAAAATGTAGCTTTGTTAATAATTTTAAAGTGCTTAGAGTTCCAATATTTTTTTTTGCCCAAAGGGTATTATATAAGTAAAAGTAATTGTGTCTTATTTCCTGTGATACAAAAATGCTTTCTTTTTCTTTTGAAACCGTTTAACTAAAATCAAAGATAAAACGCACATATGCACTCAAATACAAACACATTTGAAGAGTTTGAAATATAAACATTCTTATTCTGCAATTGCTTACATGAGAAGCACTGTCTCCTGTCCTCTTCCATCATGCTCTGTGACAGCAGCCATCATTTCAGTCCCTTGGGAATAGAAAGGAAAGCAGACAAACCCACCTGAAAACTCTGGTGAAAGTGTTTGTGGTGTGGCCTCTGAGGAACAGTCTGTTGTTTTACTTGAGGCTCATTTCCTCCGGGCCAGCCTCCTTGCGTGTCACTCCATGCCTTCTGTGGGTAGGAAGCAGGCACTTGGATTGACTGATTTCAGCTTTGAGATTCCTTGACATTTTTTTTCATCAACATGAAGGCAAAAGGACATGAATACTCAGTCAAAACATGCAGAGCTGTAGCAGAATTATGTGAACACTTTCAAAATACCATACTGAATCATATAATTTTAGGATAATTTATGAAATACCTTTTCTCTCTCGGAATTTCTTTTG